GCGCGGCGGGCTTCTCCCCTTCGTCGCGGCCCCGCCCCGGCCCGTCGCCGCCCGTGCGCCTGCCCGGCTCGGCCCCGCTCTACGTCGCGGCCCTGCCCCGGCCCGTCGCCGCCCGTGCGCCTGCCCGGCTCGGCCCCGCTCTACGTCGCGGCCCTGCCCCGGCCCGTCGCCGCCCGTGCGCCTGCCCGGCTCGGCCCCGCCCTACCTTCGCGGCCCCGCCCAACGTTGCGGCCCCGCCCTATGTCGCGGCCCCGCCCTACGTCGCGGCCCCGCCCTATGTCGCGGCCCCGCCCCGACCGTCCCGGCCCCGCCCCTCGTCGCGGCCCCGGCCCCGTCCCCCCCCCCCCCCCCCCCCCCCCCTTTTTCTCCCCTCCCCCCCAATTCCCGTCGCCCGTCGCGGCTCCTTCGGGGGCCGCAAGCGGCCCCCTCAGGTCGCCACGACGGACGACAGGAGGGGCGAGCTGTGGGGTGGCGGGTATGGGGGTGGTCGGTGTGCCTTCCTCCCTTTCTCCTCCTCCTCCTTCGTCTCCCACTGCTGCAGCTGTCGCTGAGGGGGGTGGTTGTGTGGGAGACTGGGTTTAGGGTTTAAGGGGGGTGCGTGGGAGTAGAGCTAGTGGTGTAGCAGTGGGTGTGTATCAGGGGGGTGGGACTGTGTGCGGGAGGATGAGCGGAGGTTGCCAGTTTGTCGTCAGCAGCACCTGTAGTCCGGGGCGCTGTCCCGGTAGCCCAGTCGTAGCCAGCTGTGCCAGCCGCCCGTGGGTCCGTTGCCCGTCCGCCGCTATTTGAGCCGCGGGGCCTGTTACTCCTGTAGTCCGGGCGCTGTCCGGTAGCCGCTGTGCCAGTCTGCCTCCTGTTGCCCGTGTGTCTGCAGCTTCAGCCGTCGCCTCCTGTCTCCTCTCCCCTCACTCTCCCTCCTCCTCCTCACTTGCCCGTTGTGACTACCACTAGCTTTGCTTATAATTGTAAACTCTAAACTATTTCTTCTTGAACTTGTGCTCAGAATGTGTGGTGACATTGTGATCCACCCTGAGCTTGTTTTGCTTTGCCTGCTCTGCTGATTACACCCCACTTTGGCTATGGGGGTGTGTCAGAATATTATCTTATTGTTCTAGCCTGTAGTGGGGTGCTCTATAGCGAGTACAACCCTTCTAGGGTTTGCTATTTGTATCCTCATTCTTGCTAGTTCAATCCTCTTTCTTTCTTCTAATTTTGACACTGAGGCCAACACTGCTGATGTCTTCACCAAGGCACTTGCGCCTTGTGATCATCAGCGTTGCTGCACGCAGCTGGGTCTTGTGCCTGTCTTGCCTCACTTGCTCACTTCTTGACCTTGCTTGTACCTTGACCTATATATACTCTTGTTCTTGCTTGCTTGACTCTTGTATATCTCTATACATGCTCTTGCATGTGAACTGGCCTTGTGGCCCTTGAACTTGTGCTCGGAATGTGTGGTGACTTTGTGATCCACCCTGAGCTTTGCTTTGCTTTGCTTGACTGGTCTTGTGACCCCTTGTTCTCCCCCACTTTGCCTATGGGGGTGTGTCAGAATATTATAGCTCACTTATTTGTGTAGGCTATAGTGGGGTATCCCATAGGGGGTACAGCCCAACTAGGGTTTCCTATTTGTACTCACTTTGTTCATAGTCATTTCATTCTTGTTCTAACTTTCTCATCGAGTGGCGGCGTTGATGAAGGTGATCGTGTAGTTGTAAGTAACTTGTCCTGGTTCTCGATTAAAGAGAATATCGCTGTACACCTTCTCGAGTGGTGCGTATGCAGGTGCGCTCGGGTTGTGGTGAGAAGAAAACGGTCGATGGGGTAAGTCGGCTTTGGGGCAGATGAGGCAAGTTCCTCGTGCCCGTTGAAGTTCTCTGCCGTCGGGTAGTAGTAGCGAATCTTTGTCGAGGACTCCTGCTCGTATTGTGTTATTTAATACTGTGTTGCTTGGATGTCCTGTGCGTGCGTGCCAGATGTCTTCAGGAGCGCGATGTCCGGGTGAGCGTTGATACGCGTCGGAGTTGGAGTAGAAGTTGGCGACGACATTGGCGCTTCTGTGGAGTTCTCGTTGAGTCGGGTTCAGTTGCTGTGCGGGTGTTGGTGGTGCTTCGTGGACGATGACTGGTGTCGTTGGTCCTGCTGCTGCCGATGATGTTTCTGCTGCTGTCGATGTTGTCTCTGCTGCTGCCGATGTTGTCTCTGCTGCTGCCGATGTTGTCTGTGCTGCTGTCGATGTTGTCTCTACTACTGCCGTTTGTTGAATTGTTTCTAACGCTCGTGTTCGTTCTGCTTTAGGGATGGTGTGCGAGTACCAGAAACCTCCCGGGCTGAAGTCGGGATCAAGATCCAGGGGATGTGTCCAATCGGCGAAGTTGACGATGGCGTCGCTATCTGCAGTGCCAAGGTCGGGGACGAAATCGAGGACCACATTGTTCTTCAAAACTGCTCTTCCGATGTAGAGGCCGCCCTTCCCGTGGTACAGTTTAAACTCCTGGGTGGTGCTGTCGGCTTCCAAGTGGATGCCTTTCGCCTTCAGCTGGCTGACACTCAGTAAGTTATAACCGAGTCCTTCTGCGATGAGTACCTTTGACATGTGCAGTATGACGTTTGTCTCTCTTGATTGAAGTTGAACTACTCCTTGTCGTCGTGTGCGCAGGTTCTGGTTGTTGGCGACCGTGATGACTACTTCTCGCTGGAGTCGATGTTCGCGTTGAACGAAGCGTCCCGAGGAGCACATATGTTGTCCGCAGCAACTGTCCAAGAACCAGGTGTCTTGCCCTGACGGTTCGCTTTGAGCGATGGCGGCGTACGTCGGATTCGGTTGGAGTGACTCGCGGCGAGGCGTCCTGTTGTCGAGCTCTTCTTCTGGTGAGTAGTGAGGTGGTGACTCGATGATACAGGAATCTGTTATCTTTGGCATACAGTTGAAAATGTTTCTTGCTCCTTGTGCAGGTTGTCCTGTTGGAGTCGTTGAGGCTTGAATCTTTGTCGTGGGATTTACTTGCGTTGAAGTGACTTGGGAGCTTGAAGGCCGAAGTTGTCGCTGTGATGTTGTCGATTGCTGACGATGCGGGCAGTGCGTACGAGGATGCCCTGAAGTCTTGCAGATGTGGCAAAACGGAGGTACTGGCTTGAATTGTTGTTGCTGCCGATTGTTGTTGTTGTTGTAGCGTCACTGGGTGTGAAACGCGAACTCTGGTACTGACGTTTTCTTCTTATGTCGTTCTTCTTGCAGGTCCATGTCCTGCTGCTCCGCGGAGTTGCCGTAGCCTCGGTAAGTCCTGATGTTCTGCTGCTGGGTCGGGGTGATGTTTCTTAGCAGTATCGTGTACGCCATCATTGATTGATAGGTGTACTGCTGCTTCTCATATTGTGTCCCGTTTGTTGGATATGGCAGGGACCCGTCGAAGAAGCTGAGAATCTGTGCTCCTTCCATCATCAGTTCGAACTCGAACGACCAGGTGAAGAAGTCTTTTCCGTCGAAGGGCTTTGTCGTTTGCAGCTTGAGAACATGCGCGAATTGCGATTGAACTTGTAATGCGTCCAATGCCCTTTCTTGTCCCGGTGCAGATTGCGGTTGCGGCATGAAGCTGACGGAGCCACGCTGGGGCTCGTACGGCGCAAAGGTAGGCTGCTGTTGTTGTTGTTGAATTCCGCGTGCGTAGGATGAGCCGTCGAGACTCATAGGAGTTACGTTGTTGTTGTTGCTGTTGTTTGACTGCGCAGGTACTCCTTGCTGGTGCTGCTCGTAGAAGGACATGAAGGAGAAGAATTTCTCCATCATGCTTGGATCGAAGCCTGCGGGCGTTTCCGTAGACCCAGCTGCTGGTCTCGTGGTAGTCCCTTCTTCCGTCTGTAGACCAGAGACAGGAGGTGGAGTAGGGGTAGTGCCTGGAGAACCGTTGGAGGAGCTCCTCTCCTTCCTAGTAGACATGTCTTCCTTGTATTAAGTATTAAGAGAAAAAGTAACTTTGAACTCTATCTGTTCTCATACCATGTTGGGCTGAGATGCCTTAGGATCTTTGTAGAGTTAAAGTCTGAGTAGGATTGTAATAGCGGAAGCGTTTGAATAAAGTCCTTGAACCACCTTGCGCTAGTATGTGAGGGCAAAGTAAGTTGCTTAAAACAAGCAAATACAAGGCTTTATATAAGAGTACAAGGAATACGAATAGATATAATTAAACTGTTTTGCTGTTGCGATTCGATACAGTGCGACTCGGGCAACTGCTCAATGTCGAGTCAGTTGTGTGTCCTTGCTGTCGCGCTGTATTTTGTCAAGTCAAAGGTCGCTGACTTTTGACCTTCGCGTAACCTCCAGGCGGTTACCCTAACCTCCGAGGGTTGACTCGCGATGCTTCGATTTGGACTGCTTCGCTTGTGTCCTGAGTTTCGACACGACAGAGGCGCTTTAAGACTTATTGTTCCCAACAGTTTCGAGCTAGTTTGTGAAACCCTCACATCACACTCATAACAAAAAAAGGTGAGTTGTTCTTCTATGAAAAAGGTTACAGCTTACGTCATTTCCACACACGTTTTGAAATCGCTTCAAATCAAGTGCCATCCATCCCATCAAGTCGCGAAATTCGAGGCGAAATGACCAGAGCGTTTTCCCATGACACTAGCGTCTGCTGCCTGTCACTGGTCACGTCATATTCTAGGGACGATCGTCTCACCGCCTGCTTGCACGCGTGTCGGAACCGCCACCTGCCAGGCTCTCATTCGCTGCCTGGCCTGCTCCACCGGTTTGGATACGCCGCCATCGCGATGGCTCAAACCGCTCTTATGCTCCTCCCGCGTCGCCGTTCGCAGGGCCACTGCCCACACGGCAGCAGATATTGTGGCAGAGACAGCCGATATCATTGTTTCGCTGACGCCAAGTTGCTGCTTTCCTCATTTCTTCTCCGTTCCAGCACCACTCGTTCCCCTCTCCTCCCTTCTCTCGCTCGCACCACGCTCGTGCCGCATGCGGCGTGGCCTAGTCGCATCGGTCGCGCGCCAACGACATGTCGCCCGACAGTCCCCCGTCCACATCCGCCCTCTGCCGCCCGCTTCGTGCCATCGAAGATGGCGGGCACGAGAGTGAGGGGGCAGGCGGGCGGCGCGCGGGCGAGCGGCGGTGGCGGTGGCGCGCGCGATGGCGCGAGGCGGCGGTGGCGGGGGCGCGGCCGCAGGAGCGATGGGGGCACTCCGCCGTGGCGTGGGATGGCAAGCTGATCGTGTTCGGGGTGAGCGGAGGCACGCGGGCGAGTGGAGGTGAGAAGCCGTGCTGCAGTGGCAGTGGAGAGTTTGCCGTGGCAGCATGTGTTGCCGCCGCTGCGTGCGTTGAGGTGTGCGCGCTGACGTGCAGGGCGTAGGTCCGTCCGGGTGAGACGGGTAGGCTTGAGTGAAAGGGGTTTCGGTGGCCCAAAGTGAGAGTGAGGGAGGGATGGGTGGTAGCGTGGCGACGATGCGCAGTTGACGCCACACCCATGCCGTGTGGACCTGCTGCTTCCGTTCCGTGCGCCCAACGCACCCTCCCAATCTCTATCCTTCTAAGGCCCCTCCCTTCTCGCCCCTCCCCTGCGCGCGCCTGCAGGGCTGTTTCGGAGCGCAGCACTTCTCCACCGTGCTGTCGCTCGACCTCACCACGCTCGCCTGGGCGCCCCTGTCGGCGCACGGCCATCTGCCGCCGCCCTGCGACTGCCACTCCGCCTCGCTGCTCTCCCGCGGCCGCATGCTCGTCTTCGGCGGCACCGACGGCCGCCGCCGCCTCGCCGCCACGCACCTGCTGCACCTGCCCTCCAAGCGGTGGCAACGCGTGGGGGGAGGGGCGGCAGGGGAGAGGAGTGCGCGCTGTGTGCTGGGTGGGAGTGTGAGTGAGGTGGGTGGTGCGATCGAGGAGGGGGGAGTGGAGAGGAGTGAGGTGCGAGAAGGCGGCGAGAGAGGGCAGCAGGGGGCTGGGGAGGTGGAGAGTGGTGTGAGCTGCGTGGACGAGGCGGGGGTGACAGCGAGGCAGGGGGGGAGGGGGGCAGAGGGAAGGAGGCGGCAGGTGGAGAGGCGGGGCAGCGACGGGTCGCACGTGTCGAGCAGCAGCGTGGTGGTGCGGCACGGAGGTGAAGGGGAGGGGGGCGAGGGGCTGGTGTGGGGCACGAGGCAGGGCAGTGGCGGCGACACGGACATGCATGGCAGCAGCCTGGGCACACCTTGCGGGCGGGTGGGTCCCGTGCAGCCTGGCTCGTGGCATGATCCGAGCGCGCTTGCTGCTGCGCACCCCCCTGCCAGGGAGAGCCACGCGGCAGCGGTTGTGTGGCTGCCACGGTGTAAGAGGGTGGAGGAGGAAGGAGGAGGGGATGCGGTGGAGTGGCGAGAGACTGTGCTGGTGTTTGGCGGCAGTGGGGATGAGGAGGGCGGCGATGGTGCGGATGGTAAGGAAGGCATGGACGGGTGGAGGGGAGGGGAGCAGAGAGACGGGGGAGGAGAGGGAGGCAGCATGAGCGAGGGGGGCGGCAAGGGGCGGTACCTGAACGACCTGTGGGCGCTGGACGTGCCCTCCATGACGTGGCGCTGCCTCCATGCACCGCACTCACTGCCGCCCGCCACCCGCGTGCCACGTGGCAAGGCAGGGGAGTGCCCCCCCTGTGCGCGCGACAGCCACAGCATGGTGGTGATGGGCGGGGCGCACGAGCAGCAGGTGGCGGTGGTGTTCGGCGGCGACTGTGGCGCGCGCTACCTCGGCGACCTGCACCTGCTGCACGTCCACCACCTCTCCTGGTGCCACGTGCGTACCCATTGGGCAACGGGTGTGAGGGGGTGTGCTGTGAGGGGGTGTGCTGTGGGGTGGGGGGGTGTGCTGTGGGGTGGGGGGGTGTGCTGTGAGAGGTTACCCGTGGAGCATATCAGTGGTGGGGTGGGGGTGGTATACGTGGGGGTAGCTGTGGGCCGGAGGAATAAAGGCGGAGATTGAGGGGTTAGTATGAGGAGAGTTCTGCTGATGCTCTGCTTACTATTTTGGACTTCATTCTATTCTCCAAACGCCCGCACAAACACCCCCAACACCTTTCTCTCTTCCCCCACCTTCTATGCACTCCCTCCCCCGCATGCACTCCCTCCCCCGCATGCACTCCCTCCCCCGCATGCACTCTCTCCCTTGCAGATACCAGCACCGGCGGGAGCGCAGTGGCCGGCGCCACGGGCAGCCCACAGTGCGGTGGCCGTCACAGCCTGGCAGGTGGGTACGGTGTGTTGTGGGCAACAAGTGGCACATACGCTAGCCACACACGCTTCTTGCCCATCCACTGCGCCACATGTGGCATGCGCCAGCCCAAGCGGGTGAGGCCGCCATGAACCGTACCATGACGAGTCCACCCAACCCAAGCATCCCTACTTATCTCTCCTCTCCTCTTCTCTTCTCTCCGCTTCTCTTCTCTCCTCTTTTCTTCTCTCCTCTTCTCTTCTCCCCCACCTTGCATGTCCCCCACCTTGCATGTCCCCCACCTTGCATGTCCCCCACCTTGCATGTCCCCCACCTTGCATGTCCCCCACCTTGCATGTCCCCCACCTTGCATGTCCCCCACCTTGCATGTCCCCCACCTTGCATGTCCCCCACCTTGCATGTCCCCCACCTTGCATGTCCCCCACCTTGCATGTCCCCCACCTTGCATGTCCCCCACCTTGCATGTCCCCCACCTTGCATGTCCCCCACCTTGCATGTCCCCCACCTTGCATGTCCCCCACCTTGCATGTCCCCCACCTTGCATGTCCCCCACCTTGCATGTCCCCCACCTTGCATGTCCCCTGTCTCTCCCTTCCGTCCGCCTCTCCTCTGCCCGTGCAGATGCTGCTGCTGGGAGGGGTGGGCGACGGTGGCTACTTCAGTGACACGTGGCTCTTTGACCTGCCCTCTGCCACGTGGCACCAGCTGCATCCACCAATAACAGCCGGTCCTGCCATGCTGGCATCGGACAATTCGATGGTGGAGCACCTGGAAGCAGAGGAAGCGTCGGCAGCAGCAGCGGAGGCATGGGCTGCGGGGGAGGAGGACGGGCAGCAGCTGCGGGCGTGCTTCTCCCACTCGGCCACCCTGCTGCCCGACGGCTGCACCGTCGCACTCTTTGGCGGGTAAGCTGGACGCGGGGCGGAGGGGAGTGGGGAAGGGGGGAGGGGGGAGGAGGAAGGGGGGAGGGGGAAGGGGGAAGGGGGGATTGGGGAGAAGCAGGGAATGGAAAGTAGGGAGGAAATTGATGGAGTGCTGTGCTCACTGTGATCTTCTTGCCTTCACACTCCATGCCCGTTCCCGCCTCCCACCCTCCCCACGCCCATCCTCTCCTCTCATCCTTCCCATGCCTGCGCTGTGCTCTCATCCTTCCCATGCCTGCGCTGTGCTCTCATCCTTCCCATGCCTGCGCTGTGCTCTCCCCGCAGCTGTGGGCGCGACGAGCAGCCGTGCAGCAACGTCATGCTGCTGCACCTGCAATGCCCTGTGAGCACCCACCCTCGCCTGCACCTGCAATGCCCTGTGAGCACCCACCCTCGCCTGCACCTGCAATGCCCTGTGAGCACCCACCCTTGCCTGCACCTGCAATGCCCTGTGAGCACCCACCCTCGCCTGCACCTGCAATGCCCTGTGAGCACCCACCCTCGCCTGCACCTGCAATGCCCTGTGAGCACCCACCCTCGCCTGCACCTGCAATGCCCTGTGAGCACCCACCCTTGCCTGCACCTGCAATGCCCTGTGAGCACCCACCCTCGCCTGCACCTGCAATGCCCTGTGAGCACCCACCCTTGCCTGCACCTGCAATGCATGGCATGGCATGTGTGAGGTGACCATTTCAACCCAGGCATGCCCTCCTGCATTGCCGTCTGCCATCTCACCACAGGGTGCACGTTTCTTCATTTCTCCTCCACATTCTCTCATCCTCCCTACTGCATCCTCCTCTCCCCACCCTCTACCCTCTACCATGCATTCCCCATCCTCCTCCCTCCTCGCTTTCCACTCCTTTCCCCCTCCCCGCCACCCCGCCAGGCCGCCAGTCCTTCCCCTCGCTGTGCGCGCCCCCTCTCCTCCGCCTCTCTGCCCGCCCCTGCTGCTGCGCGCACGGGGCGCGAGGAGGAAAAGGGCAACGGGGCAGGGGCGGTGGAGCAAGGAGACAGAGCTGTGGGCGTGGAAGAGCAGGGGGGGATGGCAGAGGGGAGGTGGCGGGAGGGAGGAGAGGCGATGGAGTGGAGGGCGGTGTGGGAGGGAGGAGGGGAGGAGGAGGCGGAGGTGGGCAGGCAGCGGATAGGCGAAGACAGGAGCTTTCTTGACGAGCTGGCGGGCATTCTCAACGACGGTGAGCGGTCTCCGTGGGGAGGGATGTGTCTTGCCTCACATTATGAGGCGCCTCAAAAGGATGGATGTGTGTTGCCTCACATTATGAGGCGCCTCAAAAGGATGGATGTGTGTTGCCTCACATTATGAGGCGCCTCAAAAGGATGGATGTGTGTTGCCTCACATTATGAGGCGCCTCAAAAGGATGGATGTGTGTTGCCTCACATTATGAGGCGCCTCAAAAGGATGGATGTGTGTTGCCTCACATTATGAGGCGCCTCAAAAGGATGGATGTGTGTTGCCTCACATTATGAGGCGCCTCAAAAGGATGGATGTGTGTTGCCTCACATTATGAGGCGCCTCAAAAGGATGGATGTGTGTTGCCTCACATTATGAGGCGCCTCAAAAGGATGGATGTGTGTTGCCTCACATTATGAGGCGCCTCAAAAGGATGGATGTGTGTTGCCTCACATTATGAGGCGCCTCAAAAGGATGGATGTGTGTTGCCTCACATTATGAGGCGCCTCAAAAGGATGGATGTGTGTTGCCTCACATTATGAGGCGCCTCAAAAGGATGGATGTGTGTTGCCTCACATTATGAGGCGCCTCAAAAGGATGGATGTGTGTTGCCTCACATTATGAGGCGCCTCAAAAGGATGGATGTGTGTTGCCTCACATTATGAGGCGCCTCAAAAGGATGGATGTGTGTTGCCTCACATTATGAGGCGCCTCAAAAGGATGGATGTGTGTTGCCTCACATTATGAGGCGCCTCAAAAGGATGGATGTGTGTTGCCTCACATTATGAGGCGCCTCAAAAGGATGGATGTGTGTTGCCTCACATTATGAGGCGCCTCAAAAGGATGGATGTGTGTTGCCTCACATTATGAGGCGCCTCAAAAGGATGGATGTGTGTTGCCTCACATTATGAGGCGCCTCAAAAGGATGGATGTGTGTTGCCTCACATTATGAGGCGCCTCAAAAGGATGGATGTGTGTTGCCTCACATTATGAGGCGCCTCAAAAGGATGGATGTGTGTTGCCTCACATTATGAGGCGCCTCAAAAGGATGGATGTGTGTTGCCTCACATTATGAGGCGCCTCAAAAGGATGGATGTGTGTTGCCTCACATTATGAGGCGCCTCAAAAGGATGGATGTGTGTTGCCTCACATTATGAGGCGCCTCAAAAGGATGGATGTGTGTTGCCTCACATTATGAGGCGCCTCAAAAGGATGGATGTGTGTTGCCTCACATTATGAGGCGCCTCAAAAGGATGGATGTGTGTTGCCTCACATTATGAGGCGCCTCAAAAGGATGGATGTGTGTTGCCTCACATTATGAGGCGCCTCAAAAGGATGGATGTGTGTTGCCTCACATTATGAGGCGCCTCAAAAGGATGGATGTGTGTTGCCTCACATTATGAGGCGCCTCAAAAGGATGGATGTGTGTTGCCTCACATTATGAGGCGCCTCAAAAGGATGGATGTGTGTTGCCTCACATTATGAGGCGCCTCAAAAGGATGGATGTGTGTTGCCTCACATTATGAGGCGCCTCAAAAGGATGGATGTGTGTTGCCTCACATTATGAGGCGCCTCAAAAGGATGGATGTGTGTTGCCTCACATTATGAGGCGCCTCAAAAGGATGGATGTGTGTTGCCTCACATTATGAGGCGCCTCAAAAGGATGGATGTGTGTTGCCTCACATTATGAGGCGCCTCAAAAGGATGGATGTGTGTTGCCTCACATTATGAGGCGCCTCAAAAGGATGGATGTGTGTTGCCTCACATTATTGTCATGGATGTGCACGTGTCGTGTGTCCAAGTCTGTGCTGCTTCATTCATCAGCACTTGCTTTCCATCGCTTGCCCACTTAGTACTTACGTTCAGCTGAAAGCCTTCACAAAGCCAAGCCGCACACATCCTCTTGTGTTGTCATTCCCAGGTTTCCCACTTGGGCATTTCGAGTCGTACCGCTGCAGGCAGATGACTTGACTTGACAGCACCTTGTGCACTCGCAGCGCCTGCTGTCGCATCTGTCCTCGCATGTGTCCGCCCGCCATCACCAGGCTCTCCGTCTCCCATCCATGAAACCCATCCGCCCATCCATGTAATGAAACCCATCCGGCTATCCATGAAACCCATCCGCCCATCCATGGAACCCATCCGCCCATCCATGGAACCCATCCGCCCATCCATGGAACCCATCCGCCCATCCATGGAACCCATCCGCCCATCCATGGAACCCATCCGCCCATCCATGAAACCCATCCGCCCTCACTCACCCCTGCTCCTTTCATCTCTCCCCCCAACCCCACCCATCCTCTCCTGTTACGCTTCCTAACCTCCCGCCTTCAGATGCGCCCTGCACGTCACATCCAGCAGCCACCATCCGCGGTACCTCCCTTCTGCACCTGATTCCTGCCTCCATCTCAAGGGGTGGGCAGAGCATCGACCAAGCAGCACAAGCGCGAGGTGCAGCAGCAGAGAGGGGGCAGCAGGGAAGGGCGAGGGGGCGGCCGCGGCGCTACGTGGTGTCGGAGGCGGGCGAGCGCATGGTGAGCGCAGCACTGCAAGCCCGGCACGCCGGCGGAGGAGGGGAGGTGGACGGGGGTGAAGCGAAGAGAACAGGCAGTACGGTGGTAGACAGTCCTGGTACGGATGGGGATGGTGGTGAAGAGGAGGGGGCAGCGGAGGCAGACATGGGAAGAGAAGGTGCAGGCACAATAGGTGGCGCCACCTTGAGTGGTGGCAGTCGGCCCAAGCTGCAGCCGAAACGAGCAGCCAGTGGAGGCATGGCGCGGGGCAGTGAGGTGCGCGGGATGAGCGCGGCGGCAGGGAGGGGCGCGGTGGAGTTGTCACCATTCCACCATGACATGGCGCATGGAACTCTGCCCGCTGCCTGTCCTTCTGCTGCTGCTCACGAGGGGCATGTGTCGCTGCCTGCATGGCAGCAGCCGTGTGGCATGACATGGCAGCAAGGGAATGTTCTTGGTGCTGCAGATGCCGCTGCTGTCATTCCTGCCACTCTCCCTCTCTCCATGCTGCCTGCCCTCCAAGCCACACCCTCCTCTGCCCCGCAGCAGCCCCGTGTGTCAGAGGCCGCCCCTCCCAGGCAGCACCTCGCCGTGCCGTCGTCCCTGGCAGCGCGGCCCCTCATTGCGCTGCACGCCCGCCCCGTGGGCCATGCCCAATCGCACAGCGCAGCAAAGCATCCCAGGGGAGGGGAGGGGGCGAGGGGGGATGGCAGGGGTGAGGCATGCAAGGGTGGTGGGGAGGGAGGCGGAGGTGGCGGGGAGGCGATGGAGGCGGGGATGGGAGGGGGGGGTGGCGGGGTGCAGGGCGGAGAGGGCGGCACTGCCCACGCGCACCTGCTGCACCTCGGCATCGGCCGTGTCGTGCGCTGCCCTGTGAGCCTCTGCCTGCCCTGTGAGCCTCTGCCTGCCCTGTGAGCCTCTGCCTGCCCTTGCGTTCCACTCAATGGCGTGGCCGTTGGATGGATGGCAGATAGTGCACCTCCACCATCCCATGGCAGATAGTGCACCTCCACCATCCCATGGCAGATAGTGCACCTCCACCATCCCATGGCAGATAGTGCACCTCCACCATCCCATGGCAGATAGTGCACCTCCACCATCCCATGGCAGATAGTGCACCTCCACCATCCCATGGCAGATAGTGCACCTCCACCATCCCATGGCAGATAGTGCACCTCCACCATCCCATGGCAGATAGTGCACCTCCACCATCCCATGGCAGATAGTGCACCTCCACCATCCCATGGCAGATAGTGCACCTCCACCATCCCATGGCAGATAGTGCACCTCCACCATCCCATGGCAGATAGTGCACCTCCACCATCCCATGGCAGATAGTGCACCTCCACCATCCCATGGCAGATAGTGCACCTCCACCATCCCATGGCAGATAGTGCACCTCCACCATCCCATGGCAGATAGTGCACCTCCACCATCCCATGGCAGATAGTGCACCTCCACCATCCCATGGCAGATAGTGCACCTCCACCATCCCATGGCAGATAGTGCACCTCCACCATCCCATGGCAGATAGTGCACCTCCACCATCCCATGGCAGATAGTGCACCTCCACCATCCCATGGCAGATAGTGCACCTCCACCATCCCACTCGCTCCTGTGCTGCCCTCCTGTGCTCACGGCCTTCCACCACTGCCACTTGCCCTGTCCTCTCCTCTGCTGTGCTGGCCAGCCCGGGGCATCACTGGCAGTGCGCGTGGACGGGGTGTTTGACGGCGGTGTCACGCTCGCAGCGCAAGTCGGCGCCCACACGCTCTCCGGTGTGCTGCTCGCCCCGCCTGCTGTGAGTCCCACTGCCCCCCCTGCTGTGAGTCCCACTGCCCCCCTTGCTGTGAGTCCCACTGCCCCCCCTGCTGTGAGTCCCACTGCCCCCCCTGCTGTGAGTCCCACTGCCCCACCTGCTGTGAGTCCCACTGCCCCCCCTGCTGTGAGTCCCACTGCCCCCCCTGCTGTGAGTCCCACTGCCCCCCCTGCTGTGAGTCCCACTGCCCCCCCTGCTGTGAGTCCCACTGCCCCCCCTGCTGTGAGTCCCACTGCCCTTTCCGGGCTGGCCTGCCAGCCATGGCCGCCAGTGCAGGCAGCTCACCGTCACCACCATGCCCCACCACACCACACAGCATGCATGTATCCACCTCATGAGGTGCACCGCCATCCCATCTAATCCCACATTTTCACATCTCTTTGGCCTCACATGTCCTTGCTTACGCTGCTTACTCCACACTCCCCTGCCCCACCTGCACCGCACACCCAAGCCTTCCTTACGTCCTCTCCCCGCCCTCTGCCTGCAGCTGAGGTCCATCCTCCTCGCCCCGCCTCGCCACTCGTCCACTCCTCCTCCTCGCTCCACCGCCACACCGCCACCGCCCTCTCTGGCACGCCCTTCGTCCGCATTTCTGCTGCCCTCCCTCCCTGCTTCCAATGGGTGTCTGACACCTGGCGGTACCTCAGCCCCAGGCACTGACCCTGGTGGCGGCAGTGGCGATGGCTCCCTGCTACCATCAGCAGTGGCAGCAGCAGCAGCTTCATGCAGTGTGTCGGCCCATTCCACCCCGCAAGCCGCATCGGCTGACGCACACTCCGAGCAGCCTGGTGGTGGCGGGGGGAGGAAGCGGCAGGGCGCGGCCGGTAGAGGCGGAGGGAGGGGGCGGGGGAGGCATGGGGGCCGGGGGAAGAGGGCGAAGCACAGTGGGGGTGAGGCGGGGGCAGGCGAGGCGGGTATGGCGAAGGCAGGTGGGGAGGCAATGCGGAGCAAATCAAAAGCCAGGACAAGGAAGGGGCAGATGGGGGGAGAGGGCAGGTGGGCAGGGGGAGGCGTGAGGGAAGGGGATAGAGGGGAGGAGATAGTAAAGCAGGGGGCAATGGGGGAAGTGTGCGGGGAGGTGAGGGCGTGGGAGGCAGGAGAGGAGCGTCAAGGCATGGAGGTGGTGAGAGGGGGAGAGGCGGGGGGAGGAGAGGGGAAAGATGGCATGCAAGGTGGTGAGTGGAAGCGAGCGCGCGAGCACCCTGAAAGGTGGGAGACACGTGTTGGGCAAGGGGCACAGCCGTCTCGCATGCAGCAGCAGCAGCGGGATTCTGCGTCTGTTCGTGAGGCTGCTTGGGCCCATCCCAATGCTGCACTGCAGCCGTCACCCTCTCTCATGCCCGTGCCATCCCACCCCACTTTCATGCTGCCCCCACGGCCCTTGTCAAGCAGTGTGGCTCGGTACGGCTGCGAGATGCAAGGGGACAGCGCAGAGCAGCAGCGGGCAGCAGGGAACGTGAGTGTGCTTGCAGGATATGCTGTGACACACGGAGGAGGAGGAGGAGGAGGAGGAGGAGGAGGAGGAGGAGGAGGAGGAGGAGGAGGAGGAGGAGGAGGAGGAGGAGGAGGAGGAGGAGGAGGAGGAGGAGGAGGAGGAGGAGGAGGAGGAAGAGTGGGGCCAAGTGGGGAGAGCATGAACAAAGGGGAGGGCATGAAGGAAGGCGAGTGGGATGAGGAGGTGGTGCAATGGCATGCAGACATGCATGTTAGCATGCATGGTGACGGTCATCCGCAGTGGCATACTGAGAAGGAAGGAGGGAATTTTGGAGGAGGGCAGGGGGGCAACGGCATGAAAGCAGCCGGTCGTGCTAGCGTGCACGCTGCCATGGAGGCGGAGCCTGAGGCTGCGGCTGCAGCTGAGGCCGCACATGCTCGGCACGGCTCTCATGGCCTCCACACCCCGTGCACTGCGCATGCCAGTCAGCGCCCTCTTGCCGCTCACACCACCCGTGGCAGTGCCGACCTTGTGGCTCACGGCATGTGCGGCATGGAGCAGTGGATGGCAGAGCTGCAGGGCACACCGGGGCATGGCGAGGGGCATGGCGAGGGGCATGGCGAGGGGCATGGCGAGGGGCATGGCGAGGGACATGGCGAGGGGCATGGCGAGGGGCATGGCGAGGGGCATGGCGAGGGGCATGGCGAGGGGCACAGAGGAGAGCAGGTGACAGGAGGGGCGCAGCATCCTCCGGCTGCGGCTGGTGGCAACGCTGGCAGCTCGCTGCCCAGCCTGGCGGCGCACCCACCCTCTCATGGCCACCTGTCACCGGGATTGCATGAGTGGGGCGACTGCACAGGTGGCAGCGGCAGTGGCAGTGGCAGTGGCGAGTGGCAGCTGATTGCGTCGCCTCCCTCCCCCCTCCACCTCATCGGCCTGGACTCCTCCCTCCACTCGCCCTCGCTCCACCCTCACTCACACGTCGCCTCTCACACGTCCCCCTCCACCCCTCCCTCACTGCATCTGCCCCCCCTGTCCCTGCCACCGCTCCTGCTGCCGCCCCTCCACCTGCCCGCCCTGCCCTCATGCGACCACGTGGGGTCGTCCCCCGCGCCCCCCACGCCCCACGGCAGCCGCCTCTCCCACTGCAGCACACCCGCCCAGCACACAGAGGCAGGCATGGGTGGGGCGCAGGGTCAACGGGAGGCTGGGGAAGGTGCAAGTGGAGTTGCACTGAGCAATGGAGATGGGAGGGGTGTGCTTGACGGTGAATGGAGATGGGAGGGGTGTGCTTGACGGTGAATGGAGATGGGAGGGGTGTGCTTGACGGTGAATGGAGATGGGAGGGGTGTGCTTGACGGTGAATGGAGATGGGAGGGGTGTGCTTGACGGTGAATGGAGATGGGAGGGGTGTGCTTGATGGTGAATGGAGATGGGAGGGGTGTGCTTGATGGTGAATGGAGATGGGAGGGGTGTGCTTGACGGTGCTCTCAAGGATGGCAAGCCGGGGTTGAATGGAGGCCAGAACCATCATCTAGAGCTCATTAGGTTCTCTCCATTACATTGGTGAAGTTAATGCGCCCAAGCTTATAGAGAATGGCTGTTATTGTCAACGTCAGGCCCCTAGATTGGTCTTGGGGTAGGCTGGAAAATCAGAGTTCACTGGCAAATGTATGCTAAAAATCAGCCAAAAATGACATTTTTCACTAAAAACCATTAGAAAATCACCAAGCTTTTTGGGAAAAGGCTAAAAAATCAGCCTTTGTACAACCACCTGAAGAACCTGTATCAAGCAACAGACAGCGTCAATCAAAGTCGGTTAATGGCGCAACTGACAACAGTCGAAATGAAACCAGGCGAAAAGGGGATGGCGTATATCAGCCGCTGTCGCGAACTGCACGACAAACTCCTTCGATGCGGAGGGTCGATTTCATAAGACGCCTTCGTCACAGTCATCATCGGCGGCCTTGGTCCTCAGTGGCGCTCCACTCGCGCCATACTTCGAGTTCACGGAAAAATATCAGAAGCAACACTCTGCGCCAAGATCCACGCTGAGCAGCAAGATATGGACTTGCAAGAAGAACGACACAAGAGGAAGGCATTAGTGCCCGAATTCGCATTCCACACTCAACGGCGCTACAACAACAACAACAATCGGCACCAACCGAAACCAGTACCTCCGTTCTGTCACCTTTGTAAGACGTGAGGTCACCCCCGTACACACTGCCCAAACCGGCAGTAGTCAACGCCAACGCAGCGGCCGCTTCGCCCTTCAAGCAGTCAAGTTGCCTCAACACAAGCAAATCCGACCACTGCAGTACAAGCCTCAACAACATCGACGGGACAACCTGCGCAAGGAACAAGAAACATCGTCAGTTGCATGGCACGGCTAACCGACTCCTGCATCACAAAGTCACCTCCGCATTACTCACCGGAAGAGCAACTCGACAACAGCACGCCTCACCACGAGTCACTTCAACCAAATCCAACGTATGCAGCCATCGCTCAAAGCGAGCCGTCCGAGAAAGATACGTGGTTCTTGGACAGTTGCTGCGGACAGCACATGTGCTCTTCAGGACGATTTGTTCAGCGTGAACACCAACTTCAACGCGAAGTCGTCATCACCGTCGCCAACAACCAGAATCAGCGCACACGACGACAAGGTGTGGTGCAACTTCAGTCACGAGAGACAAACGTGATGCTGCAAATGTCAAAAGTATTTATTGCGGAGGGATTCGATTACAACTTACTGAGTGTCAGTCAACTGATGGCGAAAGGCATCCACCTCGAAGCAGATAGCACAACACAGGAATTCAAGTTGTACCACGGGAGAGGAGGTCTCTACATCGGCAAGGCAGTCCTGAAGAATAACGTCTTCGTCCTCGACTTTGTCCCAGATCTTGGCATCGCTGACAGCGACGGGATTGTCACCTTCACCTCCTGGACACATCCACCGGATCTCGACCCCAACTTCAGTCCCGAAGGCTTCTGGTACTCACACACCATTCCCGAGGAAGAACGAACAAGAGCATTAGCAACGATTCAACACTCGGCAGCAGCAGAGACAACACCGGCAGCAGCAGAGACAACATTGGCAGCAGCAGAGACAACATCGGCAGCAGCAGAAACAACGGCAGCAGCAGCGGCAACATCGACACCAATCGCTGGTCCTTCAACTGCACCGGCTCCAATCGTCGACGACACTCCACCGACTCCTGCGCAGCAACAGAACCCAACACCACGAGAAGTACATCGAAGCGCAAACTTCACCGCTAGCTTCTACTCCAACTCCGACTTATACCGTCGCTCACCCGAACATCGAGCTGGCGAAGACATCTGGCACGCACAAATGGGACATCCAAGCAACACGGTGTTAAACAACACAATCAGAGCAGGCGCGCTCGACAAAGATTCACTGCTTCTAACCGACGGAAGCGAACTTGGACGAGCTCGTGGAACATGCTTTACCTGCCCCGAAGCTGACTTACCACATCGGCCATTCGCTTCTCACCACAACCCCAGCGCACTAGCTTACGCACCACTTGAGAAAGTGTACAGCAACATCCTGTACAATCGCGAACCTGGACAAGGAGCATACAACTATACCATCACGTTCATTGATGCTGCTACGCGTTAAGTTTGGCACCTTAACCTTCTGAGCAGGGACATGGCCTTCGAGGCCTTCGTCGCTTGGCTCCCAGTAGCAGAACGAGAATCGGGCGTGAAGCTAAAAAGCTTCCAGTCAGACGGAGGAGGAGAATACACCTCACAGAGGTTCAAGCAGTACTTGGCAGAAAGAGGAATCAAGAGGCTCATCTCTCTTCCATACGCTCACCAGCAGCAAGGCGTAGCAGAAAGGATGAACAGGACTCTCCAGAACACCATGCGCAAGCTGCTACGAGGCATGCGACTGCCCAACCACCAGTGGCCCGAAGCAATGGACCACACTGTCATGCTGCACAACTTGCTCTCGTCATCATCGCTCCCGAACAACGCATCACCGCACCTGCTGTGGACAGGAAAACACGGCAGCACAAAAATGTTAAGAGTTTTCGGCTGCATGGTACAGTACCGACCCCCATCTGCACGAGCCGGCCGATTTTCCCACCGCACACAGTGGGGACTACACCTAGGCATCGAAAGAAGTTACATCGCGTGGAAGATTTTTGACGTCCACTCCAAGGAAACAGTAGCAGCACGTGATGTCATTTTCTAGGAACGACTCACCTTTCCGACGTACCTTGCCAACCTGGAAGAAGATCGGGACCCCACAGGCGGCTTGCGTGGTGACCGAGCCTTCGCCTCGGCAGCAGACGAAGCTGACTGGGGCGAGCAGAACGTGGATGAAGCCTCAGAGGAAGCCGGACCTCTCCCTTACTGCTCCGTCAACGTCCCAATGGATGACGAAAATCCTCGCGAAAGCGCCAACGCCGAAGTATTTTACCACTTCGCTGACAACGGTTACGTTACACCTGCATAAGTCAACACCAACGAAGCAGAACGCATAGGGCCCAACTTCATACCTGACCCAGAAGCAGGTGACAAAGCAGCTTATCCCGCGGACATAACTCTCCCCCGCTACATACAGAGTGGCCTCCAGATACTCGGCCTCGTCACCGCGGTCCATGGCACGGAGATTCTGAAGGAGCCTGTCACAGTTCAGCAGGCTCTAGGGGGGGAGCATAAGGAAAAATGGCGCGAAGCCATGGACAAGGAGCTAAAAGCACAGGAAGAACGGAACACCTGGAAAGTTGTTCCGTTCGGCGTGGCACGAAATAAGACAGTACTCACCGGGAAATGGGTCTTCCGTGTGAAGACAAAGGCAGACGGCACCATCGACAAGTTTAAAGCGCGATGGGTTGTACGCGGCTTCGACCAAGAGTACGGACGCGACTTCACTGAGACATTCGCCCCGGTCAGCCGACACACCTCGCTGCAAATTCTCCTCGCAATCGCCGCCATGAAGAAGAAAAAGCTACGGCAAATTGACGTCGCCAATGCATTCCTCTACGCACCTGTCGACGCAGAAATCTTCGTCGAACTACCACATGGCTCCAACGGAAAACCTAATCACGTCTGTCAACTGCTGAAGTCACTCTACGGCATCAAAAAAGCCCCGAGGCTGTGGCAACAGTACCTGCACGCAAGACTTATCCGCATAGGATTCCGCCAGCTACCTCACGACCAAGGGATGTATCGGCTTACAAAAGGCACCGACTACATCCTACTAATAGTCTACGTAGACGATCTACTCTACATCGGGTCGACCGACAACGTCACTACCTGGCTCGAAGTGGAGCTACAGAAAGATCTCACGCTCACAGTCTCATCTACCGTCACGCAGTACCTCGGCCTCAACATTCAGGAAGAAGATAACGCGATTTACCCCAACGCCGCGAAATACGCCGACACCATCGCCAAACGCTTCGCGCTCACACCAACTACCATCTCCACGCCATACCACTACACGGCAGGAAATCACAAGGAAGGCTCCACTCCACTCAAGCCTGCCGGGATACGCGACTACCAAAGGAAGCTTGGATGCCTTCTCTTCGAGGCTGTCACCTGCCGCCCGGACCTATCATACTCTGCAAGTCAACTCGCCACCTACCTTAAAAGGCCTGAAGCTGAACACATGGCGGAGCTCGACCGCGCTCTTCACTACCTCGTTAGCACTCCAACGATCGGCTTGACCTACTACAAGAACGGAACTACAACGCCTAAGTTAATCAGCTACGTCGACGCCGACCACGCCGGAGATTCTGACAACCGGCGCTCGCGCACAGGCTACATCTACCGCCTCGAGCCTATCGGAACTATCTCGTGGCAGTCGAGTAAGCAGGAATTAACCGCTCTCTCCTCAGTTGAAGCTGAATATATCGCACTCTGCTCAGCCACCAAGGAAGGATTGTACCTTCGCGAACTCTTGGAGGAAGCGAAGCTGGCTCAGTTACCCAGCTTCACTCTGTTCTGCGACAACCAGTCGGCAATTCGCATAGCCAACAAAAACGGATTCGCGAACAGGACGAAGCATATTGCCCTGCGATATTTCTTCGTGAAAGACGAGATCGAGAAGGGGAGACTCGAATTATCCTACTGCCCCACGACCGAGATGGCAGCTGATTACTTGACCAAGAAGCTCGGAAAGCAGAAGTTTGAGTACTGCATGCTGCTGACTGGACAGAGCCATGTCACCGGCAGCGACACTCTAGAAGCGAAGGGGGGTGTTGGAAACAAGTAACTTAAGCACCTCTGTCATGTCGAAACACCAAGTCAGAAGCGAAGCGAAACATATC